TCAACTAGTTTTTAAAAATCGTTTTTTAATCACTTTTGCTGCCGCGTTCCAATTTCGGTACTGCAGTTTTTGTTAAACTAATTTTTTTAAATCGTTTCTTTTTAGATACATTTCATATCAACCGAAAGAAAAACAGAACAGTGCGTCTGTAGATCTGATGAGAAAATGTCGAATGTGACTACTAATTTTTACTTCGTTTATATTTGTCAAATTCAGTTTCTTCAACCGCTTATTTCTAAATATTTTTTTGGGAATCAAAATAGACTTTTAACTGTGCGGCTATCGATTTTGTAAGACAAATTTGAATCTGTATATAAGTATGACCAGATTACTAATTTTGTGCCATCATCAGGCATTTGTATGCAGGTTCTAAATTGGTCAATTTCTTTTAAACCAAAGTTCTTTAAACGTTGGCTTCCAAATATATTTGTTGGCAACCAGAAAAGAGTGTGACGAAAGTGTCCAAATTTCACCTCTTTGCCATCATCAACCACTCGTGCTCGTTTGAAAAATCTTTTCTATGTTTTCAATCGTTTATTTGTTTTTTTTTGCATTTGTAATTGCCTCGAAAAGCTATAGAACAGGGCATCTTTGAAATTTATCGCAAAATTTTCAATCAATTTTTCAATAATTTTGCACCATTTTCAACGCTTGTTTTGAATTTTTTTTTTTTATTTTCGTGTAACCAAATAACTTTTTATTTCGAACCCCATTTGTTGGCAGTCGGACTGGTCTCAGATTGTGCGCCAGAATCTGCTATGAAAAAACCATTCAAATTAATGTGTTAATTTTGCGTCATCATCACTTATATGTAATTTATTAGATACTTTTCTCAAATTTTTGAAACCCGAATTTCCTTTACGGTTTTTTCCAAATATATTTGTTGCCCACCGAACGAGGCATATAATGGTGCGCTGTAAGTCTAGGCTCTAGATTCTATAAGTAAAAGCCTAATTATTGTGAACAGATTTCTAATTTTACTCCACCATCAGGCAGTTGTATGTAATTTATGAATTTGTATATTTTTCTTTTTTATAATTGTTTATTTTCAAATGCATTTCACGTTCACTGGAAGAGGTCCAAAATTCAGCGCCGCTGGATTTCGTAAGAACAACTCGAAACCATATGGAAACAAATTTCTTCTATTTTCAATCATCCGGCACTTGGGTACATTTTTATACGTTATACGACGTTATACCAAATTTATCTAATTATTTGTTTAGAAGTCTCTATATTTTTCCAAGCATCAGTCATTTCGAGATAATTTATTGTCTCTAATTTGCTAACTACTACCCAAAGTTGGTTCTCTTCAAAATAAGTTTCTCACCCTGCTACTTTCCAACATTTTGTAAGAACTTTATAATTTGGTTTCTTTTGAGAATAAGGAAAGTGGGTTCGATTGCCAAATAAATGTTCAATTTTATGCAATGTTTAGGGTGTTTAACTTTAAACTGATGCGTAATGCGAATTTAAAAAACGCCTAATTGGGCCAAAAGTTTCAGAGATCTTTACAGCTAGTTTTAAATTGTAAACCTTTTTAGTTAGGATATTTCTCTGCACCATTTTAATTTAAATTGAAAGACGTTTTGCACATGTTTCAATTAAATCTACCATGATTCAGCCAAAATCGATAACACTAAGGCCCAAAGTGCGATTTTCATATCATAAAAAATTAACAACTTTGGCCCATACTTTCATGAAATCTTCCAAACTGTTCTGCAGGATCGAGCCAATCACAGTATTAATGAATCCTAATCAAAACCTACACATAATATTTTAATTGGACAACATGATGTGGCTTCTAATCCATCATCGAGCAACCCCTTTAAGCGATTTCCTGCGAGTGAGCGCGTGTCCCCGCATCTCCCTTACACAAATCAGGAGTATCCAGACGATAATAAAGCGTTTTCGACAGTGCGTTTGTGGCGTCATCTTGATGTCTCCACCATGCTGATACAACGCATGCAAGGGGAGATTTTGCGAATTCGTAATATCCCCTGATTACCCATCTATTGAGGATCGCAAATGAATACTTTATAGAAGCACTCAGAGGCATTGTCCGCAAGTATCTCCCCAGCAAACCTGTCGGCAGGTAATAACTTTCAGGAACTTTGTGAAATTTCACTTACAAAAAGGACTTTCCAGCGTGTATATTTAACGTTTGGAGAAGAAGCAATTGGTAATAAAAAATACAATCACAAATCCAAATTCGATTCGAAAGGGTGGTCAATTTGGGCCGGACTTTTAGCGCCCTACGCACTAAATCTCCCCATAACCTGTCACCCATCGGGAATCAATTTGTATGAATATCGATCTGTTTCGAATTGAATTGTTGTGGGCCAAAGAGGAGTTGTGAAGAGACGCCCAATAAGGACGATGAAAATTTCCTGCAGGAAGGAAGCTGGAATGGATTGGTTGCACCAATAGCGAAATGATAATTTTCAGCCTATACAGCGTGTTGCGAAAAATTGACGCCAACGTTCAGAATATAGACAATCAGGCTGAAAGAAAGTGAAAATTTCTGTACAACTAGTTTCAAAGAAACTATTTTGCTAATGCTATAGCAAGACGTCGATATTTTTCTGGTTGAGGTGACACAAGAAATAAACAATTGCAGCTTCAACACTCTGTGGTTGTTTTACGATTGTAATCTATTGCAGAAAGGCATTTTTCGATAGATCCGGCATATGCAGATGCAAAGAGGTATTTTTAGTTTAGATAATAGACGGCTGGCTTATAATTACACGTCAATCGTCAGAGTCTTAATCAACTTGATGCCAATTATGAAACAATGAACGAAGCATCTGTTATCTTTCCTGCTTCGAAGAAATAATGACATTCTAGGTAATTACTTGATTCTTCTAGAAGCGACAGCTCTCATTCTTGTGCGTGAGAACAGCATGTATACATATTTTATTTCAAATATTATTTGCTGCTTTATTCGTCTAGTTTTACATCGATAATGTTCAAAATTTAAATTGTTCAAAGACAACTGTGTTGGTATATTTAGCGTGTCTTAAAATCTTATATTCCAGCGATCCACTCTTTCTTTAGTATAGTTTTTTCTAGATGTTTCTCAGTTTCTGGGCATGTTGATACACTGATCGTTTTCAAGTTCTGGCTTTGAACCTCGCATAAAACACGCTTTTTCAAAAAGCTTGGAGTATCAGATTCAGTTTTTACTTCTTAACGTCCTTTACGGATTTTTTTTAGGCTCTTAATAACTGGTCGTGTGTGCTAAACGTGCCTTTGGAAATGGCCTTGACGTTTTTGCAGTTTATCAATTAAAAGCTCAAAAACAGCGAACTTTACAAGTCGTTTTTCAAAACCGAAAAAATTAAACTTCTCCGTACGATCACTTTCCTGTAATTTAATTCAAATCTGCCTTGAAAAAATTCAATCTAATTTCGTCATTCTTCGCTATAGATTTTAGTTTAATAAAAAAATTATTTGAGCTAAAAAATGCAAGTTTAATGCGCTTTCTAATTGACTAAAGTGAAATATGTTTTATGGTCCATAAGGCAACCACTACATTTTTGAATAGGCACTTTTAAAAATAGGTAACTATTTTAGTCCATTGAACCAGTTTCCCAAAATCCGAGCAAAATTATCAGTGGTTTTTACTACGAAATTATATGAAGAAAGGAAGAGACGCCCTTTAAGACCAGTTCTTTCCAATATTGCAAATAACAAAAAAGTGAAATATATCTTAAATTATTATAAAATTATCTGAATATTTCATAAATGTGATTGGTATGTTTATTTCGTTTCAAAGTCCCGTGATTTTCAAATAAAAAATTCTGAATCAAGCTAGTTTTTCCCCAAGGTTTTGTATCTGTGTTTTTTCGTTCGGCCCCCCTGCAAGCTGCATAGTTTTGATTAGAGGATACTTTTCGGATCTGGTTATCCAATTATACACAAAAAAGACTATAAATAAAGCTGCACCATCAATCGATGATTTTTAATCCAATACCAAAATCACTAAAAAAAATAATCCCTTTTTTAAGCATTAATATTTGATTGCATTGCTTCTCCACATTCAATAGAAGATACTACCATACAAATAGATTCAAATTCCATATGACATTCATCTCCATTAAGATAAAATCTTATCTACCGTTTACCGCACAGCCTGGGAGAATTCTTATCTCAGGAAAAAGGAAGACATTGTTTGAAGTCGTATAGTAAAGAAAATAGAAGACGATTGAGCGTAGTTTCAGTTCACGTTTAAGTACACAATGGCCTATTTAAGCGCGGCTGTAAACGCATACCGAAACGAATAAGTAACATTTAATTATTCGTAAATTCTATGTAGCGGATCCACACTTTTTTGTTTCTTTACATGGGGAATCACTACGATTTTTTTTGTCGTTATGCCACTTTGTCGAAACTTTGTGTTTAACCTGACGCCCGTTTCCGCAGCTATGCTACCATCTTCCGAGGAAACTTTTTATCACGTTTACCACACTTGCGGACAAACAGCATGGGTTCAGATCAGAAATACTCTGTACCGGTGAGGGCACAGAACAAATATTGAAAAAGTTGAATAATCTGCTTCATAGAATGGAAAAAGTTGTTCAAAAAGTAAACCAAGCCCCTAAAATCTGATTTAGACCATCGAAAATGTATATGACAAAAACGAAATTCAAGACAGAATCAACGCAAAAATGTCTACTTGAATGATAATCAGAAGAAAATGGGAAAATATTATGTTGGGCAAAAGAAAAAGATGCTGAACCTAAAATATTTGAAATGGTTGATAAGGGCGATTGAGATGTTTATTTGGATTTCACCTAGAAAAAATATATATTTATGATATAAATTAACTAATAAACGATGAAATTTCAGTGCCTTGGTATGGACTTATTAGAATAATAATCTTGTATATCTTACTGTAAATCGGCCGTAAATTTAAAAAGTTGTCGTACAGGCAACTTTAAAAACAGCAACAAGAAGGCCGTTTGGTGAAGTAATCCCGATAGATTGGTATCATAGAGAAAGTAAAATAGTATTTTTCCTTATGGTTGGTATGAGTGTTTGTATAATTTCAAGTTGAAGTGCTAGTGACATAACACTCATGTGCATTTTTTCCTCTTAATCTAAATAATTAGGGATAAAGTGAACCTTTCCGACACGAAATCTGAGTTTAACAAAACTTCCGAAAATGTCCTCTATTGTGGTGGCTCGCATTTTAACTCCAGGTGAGTATAATAAACAAACCGGTCAGTTTGAGGTTAAGACTGCATGATAACTTTGCTTTGAACCTCTTTTTTATCAGTCTATTTTGGTTTTAGTTGCCCATAGAACTCTGCGGCATCTAATCAACAGGAAGTCTATCTCACGGTTCCACAACTATGCGAAAACTCTGCAAATTGTTATTCCCCAATCTAATCAGACGAGGCTCTACTCGGAAAAGAAGGTGTTTGCTAGGGATAAGCCCCATTGTAATGTGGGCACCATAGGCCATGTCGATCATGGGAAAACCACTCTTACAGCTGCAATCACCAAAGTTTTGTCCGACCAGAAATTGGCTAAAGCTAGAGGGTATGCTGACATTGATAATGCTCCTGAGGAGAGAGCAAGAGGTGGGTGAACTCAGAAATATTAAGCAAGTTGCGGATTCCTATTCTCTTGGAGCTGCGAGTGTTTGGGGCGATAGCCAATAAGTTGAGCCCTCTATTTACAAAATTTTATCGTAGGAAATAAATAGGCAATTTTTTACGCATACTTTTTACGTATATTCATTTCGTAGGAATTTACTCTTGAATAATACGAATTCATAGTAGTTCGGTAATATATAAAGTGTGTGTCAATATTCCACTCGGGATTTCATCAATGTTGTTGAAATTTTTGTTATCTGGACATTCCATTCCTTTTACTACATTTTTCTAACCAGGGGTTTTTAGGCAAGACAAATTGCAAAATCCACATCCAAATTGTTTTGTTACAATCCAAATTAAAATACATATTTAATTGTCTGCTCTCTTTCAGGTATCACTATTAACGTTGCGCATATCGAATATCAGACCGAATCCAGACATTATGGGCATACCGACTGTCCAGGACATGCTGATTACATCAAAAACATGATTACCGGTACTGCTCAGATGGACGGTGCAATTTTAGTGGTTGCCGCCACTGATGGCGTTATGCCCCAAACTAGGGAACACATTCTTCTTGCCAAACAAATTGGAGTTAAAGACATCGTCGTCTTCATTAATAAAGTTGATACTGCTGATGCTGAAATGGTCGAATTGGTTGAAATGGAAATTAGGTAAATATACAACAAATTAATCTTCGAATTCAGAAGGGGTTCCTATATTTGAAAGTGAATAGTAAATGAAAGTTGTCTAAAAGCGGATATTTACTACTATATTTTTCTCCAGCGCACATTTGAGTTGCTCCACTTGATGATTCATTTAGGCGATTAGTTTTTTCAGCTGTAAATGCTTTTTGTTACAGAGAACTGCTAACAGAAATGGGCTTTGATGGCGATAATATTCCCATAATCACAGGATCTGCTCTGTGTGCACTCGAAGGCAAACAGCCTGAAATCGGCAAAGACGCGATTCTCAAACTGTTGGCGGCGGTAGACGCCCATATACCCACACCCATTAGGGACTTGGACAAGCCATTCTTGCTGCCTGTTGAGAACACTTACTCAATTCCTGGTAAGAAATTTCGAATAATCACGCCAGTAAACTTCAATTAGCTAGTGCTTGAAAGAGACTTGAAAATTTCGTTCTATTTAAGGGCGTGGTACTGTCGTAACCGGTCGTGTGGAGCGTGGTATTATCAAAAAAGGTTCCGAATGTGAATTCGTCGGTTTTAACAAAGTGCTAAAATCGACCGTCACAGGAATAGAAATGTTCCACCAAATTCTGGACGAAGCACAAGCAGGCGATCAACTGGGAGCTTTGGTCAGGGGAATCAAACGTGATGACATCAAAAGAGGTTAGCCTTTAGACACTTTATACTTTCCGTTTTAATTCGTTGGTTTTTCAGGAATGGTCTTGGCCAAGCCAGGCACAGTAAAGTGCTACGATCACATCGAGACACAAGTGTACATTTTGAATAAAGAGGAAGGTGGCCGAGCAAAACCATTTACCTCCTATATTCAGCTGCAGATGTTCTGTCGAACTTGGGATTCCGCTGTACAAGTTTTGGTGCCAGACAAGGAAATGGTTATGCCAGGAGAAGACTCAAGGTAAGAAATTTCTTATAAACTTACCAAGTTGATGAAATTTACGGGAAATTGTTTAGCGGAATTTGGCAATTTTTATACTGCCGAACAAATACAGTGATTTGGTAATTAAAAGTCGATAGATACAGTAAGGGTCAAAGCTAGGCAGACATAATTGAAATTTTGGACAAAAAGCATTGTCGGTTCCAGATCCGTTTCCTGTCCCGATCTGTTTTCACATTTTCACACTTGCTCATCGCATTTTCTACTGTTATTCTATGCAAATATTTCGCTCATTACGCTTTTTTGTCACTGTTTTTTCTAAGCCAATTTTTGGCACTTGTTAGTGAACATTTTCACGCGCTCATCGTCAAACAGCTCCAAAATCTTATTGTAATCTTGTCATTATAACGCACCTCCTCCTTTATCTGTTGCGCTTGGTTTGGGTGCTATTTATCATCTGCTACCAAACTAATTTTGTTGACAGATTGATATTGAGAATGATAAAGCCCATGGTTCTGGAACAAGGTCAGCGGTTTACCCTTAGAGATGGTTCAGTTACATTGGGAACGGGAGTGGTAACGAAAATTTTGCCTAAGTTAAAAGAAGATCAGAGGGAAGAGCTTACTGAAGGCAAAAAGGCCCGGGAGAAGAGAGCGAAAGCGGCAGCCACCGGCCAGTGAAGGATTTGCATCTTACGTAATTATGACTACGTTTTCTGATATATCTAGGTTACATTAAACTTTATTTTATATAACGCTCGAGGATGGTGCGATTTAAAGAAAATGGCTTATTTACCGTAAGGCAGTTTTTTGTTTAAGATTGGATGTCGTATATTCAAATATATGCTGATGTTCTTGTTATGGGCATTTTAATGAGTCCTGCCCCTAAGCTTTCATATCGCCGGTCAACAATATAACAGTATGATCGAAATACTCAGAGAAATAAATATATTAAAATTTTACAATTATTATGTTGAGGTTACAATATGGAATAACTACAGGCTAAAATTATTTCGCATGCATTGGAGTTTTCCTTACAGTTCGGCGACTGACTAGTTGCCGCTTTAGTCGAAAAAGAAATAATCATACTTGACTAGAACTCTAATATGAAAATGGTTTTAACATCGAAAAAATATCACAATTACATTCTGCTTACAAGATATTTGTTTATTTTTTTCTTGGGGTAAGCCGATTTTTTCTTTTAGTCTGGCGGAGTAGAAAAGTTTTACACAATTTCCTAGATTATTTAGAAAAGATGAAGAAGATCTCTCTTAAAAATTAGAAAATTGACCTTATATATTCATGTGGAAATGTTTTGATCCCGATTCAGAAATATCTTGTAAGTACAGTTAAAGGGGCATGCATTTTCTGCATTCCACTTGGAATTTTATGGCTTGTATAGTCGTTTTAATGGTATAGGATGTAAACAATGTTGAGAAGAAATTCAGAAAATACACACCAAGTCTACTTTATTATTCGCGTAATGTTCACGAACCACATCTTATACTAACTAGCTGACATAAATATATTATAAAGGTACTAAGAAAATACTGATTGTTTGTTCTTATAAGGTAAGGAAAGTTGGAAATAACTAATCACACTTTGGATTGCAAAGATCAGAAGTAAGGGGTGGAAAATAACTTTAATCTCTCGCTGGGAAATGCATATAAAATACCTATTTGGCATTCGAAAAGTTATCTACCTAGAGATCCTTAAATGTATGAAGTTTTTGGAAATTCTATCGCTTATTTTGCTAATGTTAATATGAATGATTGTCCTAACAAATCTTCATATAAAATTTTCATTTTCTATTCTAATTTAGTATTGTACATAAAAACGGAATATTCGATTTAAAAAGTACACATTCCTCCATCTGCTCTATTCTTTATCAGCAATTATTGACTAATGGTGTAGGGAAAGTTAATAAAGCACTGAACCTAGTTAGGTGTTAGCATTTGAACCGATTGAAGAAGCCAATCGTTCGCATATCTGTTTTCTCATTAATGGTTTTATTTGTTAATCTTCTGCAGATTAAGGAATGTGCTGACTCACATTCATTATCTCCCATCTTAGAAACTTTTCAGTATCACAACACAAATTGCTCTATAATATATACTTATACATTTTAATTTACTGCTATTACACATGAAGATAATCGTATATAGTAAATATTCACTTTTTACAAATTTGGTAGTTTATTGCTTTTATCTTTTCTTATTCTAAATAACTGGATAAATTCAAAATACATTTATTATTGGTATTTACTGGTCGTATGATTCATTATTATGAAAGTAGCGCTTTTATTGTGTCTGGAAATTGCTTGTTTACAAATGTGTATTACATAAAAATCTGCAAGGTTTATTTTACATTGTGTATAAGGAAATGTTTTAGTGAAATATTTGCACATATTTAAAGCTTGGAAGTGGCTCACCACTAAATTCTAATCGTATAGGTTTGATAAATAGTTATTTACAGAATATGAAAATAAGGTGCTCTATAAATAATGTGCGCTTGATTATTTTCTTTCTTAATATAAGTATTTACATGGGAGGAGCGGCGTTTTTGACGTCCATGTTCAATGTGTTTACGCTTAGCTTTGCATGTGTACATAAAGGGCTTTTATTGTTGAATCGTTGTACATATTTAAATTTGGTTAAATAATGGCTTTGTGGCCCACTATGGCAGTGAAAAAAACCTTAAGGTGTTTGTGTGTTTTGAGTATGCCAATATTTAGGGATGAATGGACATGCAAATCCAAACTTAATCATTAGAACGACGCCAGTAATAATTCACAGTAAATTAACCTAAGGTAATGGGATTCACTAGTACTACTTTACTTGTACATACATTTTTTCAATGATGGTATCAAAATGATTTATTAGGTCATTTTGTACGATTCCGCTTAAATGCTATGGTTACTTGGATATTAAATTTTCTTATATATTTTTTAATTTAAATTATGTCATTCTTGCTTCTGGAAGTCTGGTTTACAAATACCTAAACAGTTACGTTGCTATTCTATAATGTTGTATATCTTCACCTAACTGTTGATTTATGTGTTGATTCATTGCTAAATAGTATTGTGGAAAATATTTACTATACCAGGTGATTGTTTTCTGAAAATGTTCCTATCCTTAAAGCCTAGTAATCAGTGCGCTAATTTGTAAAACCTATACGTATTTATATAGCGCGATATTCGGTAAAAACGACCAGCATTTTTACCTGCTGCTCCCTGATGTGGTACTTACGATCTTCTAGGCTCCAGTTTTTGCGACATACTCGTCAAGATCCGTTGATTGTCGATTACTCGTAAGCAGGATATGTAAGACTTGACTTCTCCTTCGCTTTTCGGGGACGGTGGGTCCAAAACTATCGAACAATTCGTTATTAAAACCCTGTTTGCCACACTTGCGTCTAACCTACCTAAATGTCTACTCCTACAAAATCTAATGGTCCTCATAGTTTGAGCAAGCATGTGCATTTTTTCAAAATTAACTAGTCCATCCAGGGAGGTTTTGTTGCCTTCATGTGTAAAGGTCATGTCTTTCAGCAGTAAGGGCATGAAGGGCACGACTGGCGGCTGGAGCTTTCCAACGCTCACTCTGTATGCTCGGTGATTTCTACTTGGGTCTAAATAAACAGTCGTGTTCAGTATGGAATTAATTCATGTGAATAAAGCCATCGAGTACCTATCATTGATTCAAATTCAGTGAAGAGCTTTCGGAACTTTGATGGCAGCTTATCCCAAGTATTAGATAGACGGGATACGGCCACGTTGCTTAATCCCATAACGATGGCGCAAAATGCATTTAGATTTTGGAATTCTCTGCAACTGAAATTCATTCTGGTAAATAACGGATTTGCTCATTATCAGACTAATTTGAAATTTGCTGAACTTTCTTGTAGCTTCCAGACGGGAAGATGTTTTTACCCGAAAGTAACTCAGTTTAAACCGAAGTCTATTAAAAGGCATCACTCAAGAACGTTCAAGTGGTGAATATTCCTTTGTGCCTAACGAATTTAATGTTAGCTCGTAAGAAATCTATTTACGTTAAGTTTTCTGTCTGTTCTTGCGATTCTGACCCTATAAATTTTGAGTACAAATGATTCATTTTCCACAGCAGGGGAACACTTATTTCATAATACAACCGTTTACAGTTAATAAACGCTTTTAGGCCGAGTCAGGGTTTAAAACCTTATTCAGGAATCCTTCCAGTTGTCGCTTTTTTTCGTAGGAAAGACTTCAGTTTTGTCTCTGAAAAGCGTCCCACGACGTCAAGAAATATTAAGTTTCACATCCTAACATGTAAATGTTACCAAATCCCTTCTTAGTTTGATACTTACTATGCAGCTAATTTGATAAACTTCCTCAGGACAGCGACCCTTTTGCTCAAGCTGCTCATCATGCAGATTTCGGTTACGACCCAGAATTGAATTTCGTTGAAACGTCGCAGAAATACATCCAGATTCGCTGTAATTTGTCCGAAGTGATGTCTTCCGAATGTATGATAAAGTAGCTCGTATTCATGAACGCACCTAAAATATTAAATAGCTTATCAAGTTCTATCAAAAACCTACTGAATCTACTTGTGAGAAGACGACAAAGTGGATGCAGTTTCTCAATTTAATTAGGGAAGCAGGAGCGACTTACCAAAATAGCTCCCAATCGAAGAGTGTCATGTAATATGCCAGTTCCTTTGTTCCAAACATTTCGATGTCGCCTTCGATTCCTTGTGTAGCTTCTTCTTGTTCGTTCAAGCACGTCTGGAACAAAATGCAATTGTGACCACTTTTATTACGTCTAAAAAATTTACTTTAAGTTTCTACTTCAAAAGCTTTTCACATGGGAAGTAGAAACACTAGAACACAAAAGTTAAATCTTAAATTTCCTGTATCGCTGGCATTATTTTAAAAGTTTGACAAATTTGTCGAAGTTCTAAGACATTTTCTAGACAACTTTCAGCTTATTTTCAGAATTCCAGCCTCTCACAAAAGATTTGAATAACAACGATCCTGTTAATCTGAAAATCGAATAAATTGCCGCATGTTGTTTAAAAATTCCCTCTACTTTGCCGTATTTTTAACGGGTTTGGCGGTTATCTTTCAACAAGTTTTGCCGCTTTCTGTGAATTGTTTAAATGTGTTTTTGGGTAAACTTTCTTCAAGCGTTTTTAGCTGATGGTCTCGATTTCCAGACAATATACAATATAAAAAAAGTTTGCTTCAGAATATTCAGAGATGCTCATAAGAAGTTTTATCAAATCCTAAAAATTTTCATAAATCAATGTTTCTTTCGCTGCGATTTTTTTAAACTTTGGGTGTTTGAAATCAACTTACAAACAATTTTTCGACTAATTAGGTTTTTACTTGAGCACGATTTCAAATTTTTTTTAAAGACTGATTGAATATTTTTCTTTATTTTTTTTTATGAGTTTATAAAAAAAATCTCATCATAGTGCTTACTCAATTTCGATAAAATTTTCACTTTCTTTCATTTGTTTTTTACAGTATTTTTTATTAATTTCCACCTTCTGTTTCCAATTTCCTAAAATGTGTGTCTGTGAACTTTTAAATTTATTGAGCTACTGTTTTTCACCCGAGCAAAATTTAATATAGGTAAAAGGTAAAGACCTGAGTTTTTAAAATTTTCCAAACTAAACTCGTTTTGGATTTAACTCTCAAAATTTCCTACTTTCTTGGTTGTCTATATTTGCCGGATAAATCTACGTTGCTCATTCTTGAAAAGTTGAAAAGTTGTGATCATTTTCAAATCGGTTATTTTTGTTAATCCCGTCTTTCTCTTTTGAGTTCTGAATCTTTCGTCTATCCCGTTTGATCAATGCAATTTAAATTTTTTGTAAATTTAACAATTTTTAAGTTTAAGTTGAAATTACGGTCAATCTTGATTTTTAAAGTTCTACTTAAAGAAAGCGAACCGAATGAATAGCGGTTTCTTACTGACTTTTTTTCAATACTCTATTGCCTATGCCATACTTTTAACGTGTCTTGATTTGGTGCCTTTGCGAGTTAATTTTTTCAGATCTTTTCAAGGGAATGTGCTTTTGAAAGTCTGATTTCTAACTAAATTTCGATAAAATGTTCTCATTTTCTTTCAATAGTTTTTATTAACTTCCAACTTCCTAGAATAGATTTTCTAAAATGTGTGACTGTCAACTTATAAATTAAGTAAACTGCGATTTTTTCCCTGAGTAAAATTTGAAATAAAGAAAAAAACAGTAAAATCCTGATTTCCAATTTTCCAAATTTAACTCGTTTCGGATGGAACTCAAAATTTCGCACTTTTTGGATTGTTTATATTTGCCGGAAAAATTTACGTTGCACATTCTGGAAAAGTTGTGATCATTTTCAAATCGGTTATTTTTCTATCACTTTTGACCGTTTCAATTTAATCTTTTTGAAAATTAAACAATTTTTACACGTTTTTCAGTAAATTTTCCACGATTTTTTAAACTGTCTTCAAGATACCATCAATTTTTACTTAAATTTCTGCTTAAAGAAAGCAAACCGAATGAATCGGGTTTTTTTACTGACATTTCTTCAATATTCGACTTTCCATGCCATACTTTTAGCCCGTCTCGATGTGGTGCGTTTGCGAGTGAATTTATTTCACACTTTTTCAAGTGAATGTGATTCTGAACGTCTGATGCAACAATTCAGACTCTCAAAGTCCTACTCAAACAATGCAAATAACAAAAAGACCTAAAATACTAAAAAACATGCGAATAACATTTTAAAACCGAACGAATCTTAGGTTTTTAATCAGATTTTTTCAATATTTTATTCATTTTGCCAAACTGTTAGCGCATTCGTCTCCCGAGACGTTCTTTTGATATTATTCCATCATTGTAATCATCGGCATCATTTACGATTTTCTCAAATAGTCTCGCATCTAATTTTATTCTGTCTTCTCGTCTAATTATCATCAATCGTAAAAGTTTGAATTCTAAGATACCGCAGTAAATTATCATTTTAATTGTTTAACAGATATTTGTTAATATATCCTGAAATATTAATAACCATAAAAAATCTAAAGATAATTTAAGTTCAGTTTATACATCATCCTATATGAAGAACCCATGTTCTTGTCCCCATACGCGTCCTATTGCTGCTCCAAACAATACCTACCTAGAAGTTTGTTCCCAAAGTTCTGAATTTATAGAAAAATTCGGCCAATGATGGAATTATCGAGGAGATGAAATCCTATTATTGAAAGATTCTCAATTAATTACACGGAAAACTAAATTGGATCTGATGTCACTGAAGCCGTTATCTCCGGTTCTGATAAGTTACTGAAAAATCGAACATGAAAGTATTGTGTGTTTACGACGTAAAATGCTTCTGAGAATAGCCGAATTTTTCCCATTAAGTCAATAAAAATTGATAACGAGATTATAAATCCAAAACGTTATTACTAAATAGTTTAGAGCAGTTATATTTAATATTTAGAAAATATTCAGTTATATTCTCTTCCTTGCAGTGTTTTTGCTGAGCTTTAAACCAGTTTTTTTTTTAAGAACAACATAACATGCCCTGTATAAGCTGTTAACGTCTGTTTAGGGCTTCTTTAATTGAAATTTGTTTCAGATATTTTTTTGCTAACGCCGTTCTACCTTAAACCCCCCCTTTTTGCATGTGAATAGATTCCTTAACTGAATGTCTATGGCTGAAGTTTTTGTACATTTTGTCGAATGAAAAATGTCAGAAACAAAGAAACAGTTGAACGATCTCAGTTCCTTTAGTATGCAAATTTAACGAATCCTTTGTTGTCGAGATTTCTCTGCGCTTGTAACTTGATCAGATTATAAAAGTTGTATAAAATTCGCTTTGGATCAGTAAATTGCATATTATTTACGGGAAATCTTTTGGAAGCTGGAAAAGAAATCCGTCAGTTGTTAATCAGCCGTATTGGTTTAGGGGCTGGAAATCCAAAGCTATTTTAGATCGTTAAGGAAATAAATGCAACTCGGTGAACCACGTAAAGGTTTTGATTGGAACCTTCCCGCAACATTTTAAATATGTATGAGCGTTCCAGATTTTAGAATGCACGTTATTTGGTATTCATTATCGATCCTGACCTGGCGGTCTAGCTTAATAATGCACGCTAAAAACCCTTTTCTGCAAGAAAAAAAGCTCAGAGTAAAGTCGTTAAAAACTGCGAAAGCCTTCGCGTCGATGAGCATTCGATAAGCCGCCTTTCACACTGAACTCTAGTCCATTTCTTTGCACCTGGATAAAAAGTTTGAAGCCTTGCACGTCTGTTTGCCAGGTTCGATAGGATTGATTCAGTTGGTTTGAATTTAAATAACCATCAATCCCCAGCGATCCATTGCAAAGCTTTGGGGCTCTTCTAGAGATTTATTTTTAGGCTGCACTGAAGCTTTTTTCGCCAATTGCATTTTCATTGTTTTGACCTAGGAAGCTCATGGGATTGAGTTGATTTACTGCGTTGAAATATATTCTTTATATAACAGTATTAAGCCTAAAATAGATATTAACTTAGGGAGACCAACGTCTATTATGATTACAGCTAAAGTAACCAGCAGAGCGAAAATTTGGCATGAAAACTATTGCTTTTAATTTTTAGTTTTGTTGTATTTATCTGAAATTTCAATTTTCCAGTTTTGCCCTCAGCATCATTCTACAGAGCTCAGTCGACGTTAGCATATAACTAATCTGCTAACTTCTTAAGGTATGCTGTTGTAATTGACTAAAACTTTCCCCTGTGGAATAGTCGGTTGCATTATCAAACAGTGCATCATATTTGAATATGATTTTCTAAATATATGCTCCAAGCTTCCTGCCCACATGTTTAACATTGGAAACTTGAATCAAGCCCATTTTATGAGTTTCCCAGCTATATCTAATTACAACGATAAAATAGCCTGGGTTGGTTGCCGTACCTTGAAAAGTTCAAATCTTCGCAAATTACTCAGGGGTCATTTTAAAGTGCCTTTAGAGAAATTGCTGCCGAATAAAAGAGCTAATTTTCTACGAGAGTATTGTGCCTAATGGCCCAAATAATCACATTAAGTACGTTTCCGAAATGGAAGTAAAATACGGACTCCCTTGCTTAACAAAGATGGATAAAAGTTGAAAACTTGTTGTTACTCACCAAAGCATCCAGGTGCTCTTTAGGTGACACAAAAATCCTTCCATTGATGGTCAAAGCCGTTGGTATGCTGATATCGTCATCCCTGAACACCATTCGCTCCCCATTCGATTTAACTTCAACTAGTAGAAGTTCATCTTCCCGAATTTTCAACTTATCTGCGGCCACCAACTTGATGGTTTCTGCTGTACTGTCGATCGGAAGCCTCAAAGTGCAGTAGGTATGATCAGCACAATAAACACGAAAAATAACTGCAAATAAAAATAATAAACACTCAGCACGTCGTTTTTATTTGCTCATGTGGAATATGAAGGTTTCATTTGCCCTCTAATTTCACAGATTCGATTAATGTTTGCACGGGAGTCAAGCTCATCGGTTCGAGCTGTTAGTTATGCTGACAATATGGAATTATTTTAGAGCGGATATTTTTTATTAAACTGGAAAATATCCTGTTAAATTTTCCAATTTTGTTGGTAGATATACGATATTTCTAACTGCGAGGGAGTCGTTTGAAAAAATCCTCCGGTATATTCGGCAATTTTGCCGGATTTTTAGAGTAATCGTTTCTCTCATCCGGCGCAATATTTCAGAAATTTCATCTGCTTCAATTGGAACGGAAAGATTAATTTTTTTGACAGTGTCTGTAATTTGATGATTTAATTTGCATTTTTTAAACTTTATTGGAAAATTCAGTGAAACTGTTTAGCTGAATTATAATGAAGCTGCAGGCTTTACTATGGAGACAAATATTTTTGTTCTTTTGGATGATAACTCGTTTTATTTCAACTGAATTGGAGATTGAAATTTTGAAGAAATCGGATTGAAATGCGGCATAAAAGACAATTTTCCAAATCGGCGAATTCTTAGTAGAACTCCGCCATTTAATTTTGCTCACACCTTTAAAAAAAATACTTGTGGTCGAGGCGCACTTTGTTCACTTTTTGATGCGAAGTTTAAGATCTATTTGTTGGCAAAAATCTATTTTTAAATTTAACAGCGTATTGTTTTGGGGCTCTGGTAATTAAAAAATACAAATTTTGTAAACAGTTAGAAGTGAGTGTATTAAACTATCTACTGTTTGAAGAAAACCACTAGAAGCTTTTCGTAAGAAACGTTCTCTATGAAGCCATAGCCTCTTTCAACCGCGAGTATCGTTCGATAATCTACCATTATTTTTATTGTCGATTGTCATTGGGAAACTATACTTTTATACATAAATTAGACTAGAGGAATTTCTGTAGAAAAAGGCAGAATTTAAACGTTTTGCAAAAGGCTGAAAGAATTGAATGATCGACTGACCATTTTGATGGAACAAGCAGAAACTATATAAAACTGCAAGGTTTTGTCCTCTTAGTCCCAATATCTTCTGCATTAAATTGCACCAAATCCAAATAGACTTACCATTGGATAACAAGTTTCTTAACGTGTATGTTTTCTGTTTGTAAAACTATTATTTAGTGCAAAAAATGGGTAGATTATCCGGCAAATTTTTCCAATAAAACGTCTTTGGAACTGCAGTTTCTTTAAGTCCTAATCTTTAAAAAGTTTGAAATCAGAAATTTTCACCGTCTTCTACGTTTTGATGGGAGTTTTATGTGCTGTTTGCATATAAACTTGAGTTGAACACCCCTCTGGGTAAATTTCGCAATTTTACCCAATTAAAATCTTCATGTCGCCATTTGAATAATGCAGACTCAAGAACGCCGTCGGGTTTACAAGTTTGGGTACATTTTGCGTGAAAAAAAACCTGATATATTTGAAACTTTCGACAGATTTTTATCATTGGTGGATGCCAAACTGAGCGACTGCAGTTGACCTCATACAATAAGAGACACCAGATTAAAGAAAAAACGGGTTTTTAAGTAACGATTTCAATATTTTAGTGCCTTAGAAGATAGTAATTGTTATAAAATTTATTAAAAGTATTTATTTATTATATTTAAAATAATATTCAAAAAATTGTCGCAAACATTATCCAATTTTTCTTACACTGTTTTTGTGACTTTCATTTTCAAAAATTCTGGGTTTTAGTCCAGATATTTGCAATATAGAATCAGTTATCATTTATCTTCTGATAATATTAAACATATTTTTTGCTAGAATGAACTGAATTGTATTTTTCTTTAATCTTCCACAAAATCGATTTAATTTAATTTTTGGTGTTTTAGAAATTTTAGTCCCTTTTCATTTCAACACTTTTTTAAATGAAAAATTGGTAACTTCCACATCAAGGCAAATAATTGTTATTTAATTTAAATCGGAAACATTTAAGAAAAAAGCGAAAGTTGCTTCAAAAGTCTAACTTCGTTTCAGATGAAATATTTCAAGTCTGGTGTGAGAACCCACCTTCTTTGAATTTTTCCTTATATTTATTTAAGACACTTATTCATATGTTTTTGCAAAGTTTCGTAACTCATCTATGTATTTATTTGTCATTCGGATCAAATCAATTTTATGTACGGCTCCACCTTAAAAAGGCTCTCGACATTTTTGCTAATTTTCTTGAATTTTCAGAATAACAAGTAATTAGCTTTCAAGCCCTTGTCCTAAATTATTTGAATTTTGTCCTTATTCGGTAAATTTATCGAACACTATTTAGCTTGGCTTTCAAAAGTACAATTTTGTTAAAATGAAGCCATTATTTAAGTGGAAAGTGCGCTTAATACAGCGCTAACAATGTTTTCGAGTAGTGGATTAGTATCGGTTGTTTGGCGCTATCAAATGTATGCAACTTTCTAGTTCACCGCAAATTCAACTTAATAATGAAAACAGTGTAGTTCATGTGAGCATCCCAAAGATGTTTTCAAACCGTAAAACTAATCAAAGTTTTTCTCAGAAATCCCAGGATCGGAGATCGTTTAACAGATCCTTCCATTAAAAAAAGTTATTTCTGAAGTAGACAATTTTAATAACGAAGTGATTCCATAGTTTGTGAATAGAAAGAACGAAGGATAGACAAAATTAAAGGAAAATGAGTAAATTTTCTTGCAATATTCAATGTTAGTCGTCTTAATGCCAACATCTATTTTTTGGGGGCTTTCCTAGAAAGAAGGTTTCAGAATTTTGCTATGAAACAATTAGCATGTTCTTCCAAATTTGTAACAATTTTTGAAGTGCATATTAAAGCATTCAAAACAAGTAAGAGTTTTTAAATTCAACGGGCACCTTTCCAAAATTCTGGGCTAAAGTTTTTTGTGTTGAGTTGTATTTTTGAATTGAATATATAACATGAAATTGTCTTCAAAAACGGATATCAAATTGTCCTTTTTGTTTTTTAAAAACCTCGTCTGGGGAACATTTAGGAAAGGCAACTTTAGTGCATTCTCAGAGAACGTTCCATTCAAATCCTAAAACTCCTAAGAAAAATTGCCGCTGACATTTAAAAAATATATATATATCCTCATCAGCACGTCTAAATACTCTCAAAAGAAACATTATTCCTATTGCTTTAAACCAGTGATCCAAAAAAAATATTTACGATTACTTGAGTTCACTCTGTGAGTTCTGCAGACAACACTAATGTAGTGGATAAATCCAATAAAATTACGCTTCCATAAATTTTATATAAACAAGTAGAGACGGAAACACGGAACAACGTATAACGTAAAACATAAATATAAATACTCACTGTCATCTTGTGGCATAATAATCGTTCTGTTCGTGTCGTCTCCCGTGCTAAAAAGGCTTATCGGTTGTCCCAAGGGTGGCAACTTCCATTTTTGTCCTTCGTGGGCTTTTCGATCTTCCTGGTACCTGAAACAGAGGGACATGAGAAATGAATGTAGTTTCCATTAGTTTCAGGAAAAATGTGTTGTCTCCACGTGGCGACATTTATTATTGTCCTGCTATTCAACTGGTTGGAAACCGACTTGAATAGGCGAATAGATTGTTGAACAAAGTGCATACAACCCAAAATGCAATTGAAACTGACCCTAACTTTCAACCAATTATCTAGCGGGATCCTTCAGCCCAAAGCAGACCAGAATAATTAATTCTGCCCGAAAACGTATTCAGTAAATTGTAAATTTACTCGCTGTTTAAATTAAATTAATCCTCTTTTTCTGTTATGACGCGAACAATTGTGGAAATAAAAGTTTCCATTTGGGGGATTAAACTCCCAGAGCAATTATTTATAAATTAATTTGCGACGTATATCGGCTGGATATTTTAATAGCTTTTGCAATTACTCCTCCACAAAAACCATTCGAAATTATTAGAATAAATTTAACATGCAATAAAAGAATAATTATTTCTGAAACAAAAACCCGAAGCCCGAGTAAAACTCTATTCCGTGGTCAGTAAATTGAGCTGAACAAGCTAACCGAATTATTTATGAATTACATGTCAAGCCTCTTTATTAAATAAAGTCGCTTTCATTCTATTCCCTCCAAGCGCCATTCGACTGAAATATCCAGGATCGATCGGCATTCATCCAGACACGGAATGTATTTTACATTACAAAGCGGGAAATGCGAATTTTTAATATTAGGTTATTGCGGTTTTTCGTCTTGGCCCAAAAGTGGGTTGGAGTTAGAACATTTTAAAACAAAGTAAAAAATATATAAACATATAATATACAGATAAATCTGGTTTTTCAATAGCAATTTATTGCGGTGGTAAAAGCTAGGTTGCTTCATATTTGCATTAAATTGAATTTTAATACATTTGCCGATAAACTAAAACAAATATCCAGGATTGATCGGAATTCATCCGAACATGGAAAACATTTTACAATATGGAAAGGTAAATGGAGAATTTACCATTTTTTAATCGCCAACAGCTGTATTGTTTTATGTTTAATTATGAATTGTGTTTGACTGATTTTTAAAAGGCTGTGAAAGCATGCTTCTGATGCTATTACAACTTTATCATTCCAGTATCTAAAGAAGTAATCGAAAAACGTTTCGCTTTTATATACAGACTTAATCTGTATTTCTAAAGCAATACACGTTGTTGTTTATCAAAATACACACTTTGGGCTCAAGATCGATTAAGTGAAATATCGTAGTGGAAATGGGGCATAAAAAACCAGCAAATGTTTTATTTGGCAACCTTTATTCTACGTGACGCCCATTTTAATGTTCCACTGAACAGTATCCATCCTGAGGGCGCAATTGAAAAAACGATACTGTTTCGCCGACGGATAAATGTAATTCTAGTCCAAACAAATACTCCGAAATAAGAAACAAAAACATTAATTTTATTCATTGAATTTTATTTCCCTTCATTTGAATAAAATTATTCAGCTTCCTTTTCTCTCGAATTTTCCACGTTTCGCTTTGAGGATAGTGCGAAGTGATATCGAAAGACTGTCAAAGACAATGGCATGAATATATCAATCAAGCTGATAAATTCCAATTTTTTGACGTGCTATTAACTTTTTCTCCCATCAAATTTAGATGATTTTGGACGTACTCCACGGTCTCGGAAAAAACGACTGAGGAAGGAAGAAGAACTGGAAGAAGTTTGACTGAAACTATTGATGATTTTTTGACAAAAAAATGACCAAAAGTCGTTAGTTGCAGAATAGTAACAGTAAAATGCGTTATTTGCTAGTTGAAACAAAAAAATCTTGAATCGGAAAATAGGGCGTCTCATAAGTTGTGAAAATGTTTGTACTTTCTAGAGAAGTTATGAGAAGATGCCGAATGTTAAACAAAAATTATTAAAAAATTCTTGAGCATTGTAATCTTTTGTAAAACACACATATATTTGGAAGCTGAAACCTTCAATTGTTCCAAAAAGAAATTATTGTAAAATCGAGAAAATTTTCCATCAACAATCAAAGGCAGTCAGAAGTCCTCAAGCAACAAGCTTTCATGCAAAAAGCCCAGGGCTTCAAAGAAATCAATAATTTTTTATTAGTTTAAATAGCCATTTTTCGGTGAGCACGAAGTGCTTTATAAGTAATTAAAATTTAAGGGGTTATAAGTGATTCTGAAAGTCTTAGTAATTGCCTTGATCCGAAAAGGGCTAAGAAAAGCAGGAAAAAATTGTGTTTTTTCGTAAACAACATTTTTGTTACATGAACATGCTGCAAGTTTAATAAAATAATTGTGTTTTGAAATATTTGTTTTTGACTAATACGAAATAGTGGCACGGCTTATATATCACATCCCTATATTTATTTTGTTAAATCAGATGTTTAAAATTATCATTTTTAGAAAAAATGTTTAAAGATAATATTTATTTAGATGGAAGTTTGAGAATTTTACAAAAATCACCGGAAAACGGAAACGACTGCAATCTTGTACTTTTCCACTACGGATTCTTTTAACCAAATACCAAATTTCTGCTCTGTAGCTGTTGCTGTTTGAAACTTATGAATTTTCGTAGATAAATGCGCCCTAAAATAGCGAAAAAGCGACTGTTAAATGGAAGTTGTGTAATTTAAAACAATCACGGAAAAAGTGAAAATGTATATATATATATATACAGACTAGGCCATATATATACGGCCTAATACAGCAGACCGTATGCAAAAAGACATGTCATTTAAAATACAGACTAGAAATCCATTCGAAAATGACCCTATATTTTCTGAGTGAAAACAGGTGCAGAAAAATGTTTTATGTAAACGTTTATTTCTAATTATTGCTGAGTAATGTGCTGTTTCCAGAATAAGTCAGGTAAAGAAGTTGTCGAACCTAAACTCTTTTTTTAATGGGAAAAAACTTTAGCATTTTATTACTTTAAACCACAGCCGGCCATGAATCAAAGCAAATAAACTATGTTGAGAATCTAGTTATTATTCGCATTTAAGGGAAATTTCATTTTGACAATTAGTTTGCGAAGATGACTTATCAACATTATCAAAAATTTTGTTGGCAATTCGGAAAAAAACGGCAACTATTGTAGGAGATACATATTCCTATATATTCTTCGAAAAAGAGAATATTTGAATACCAACTTTAGAAAAAGTCGGATAGGACCACATAAGGTGGCCACCACGATCAACGGATTTAACACCTCCAGATTTTTTCTTTGGGGAAGTAGAATTTATAAAAAACTGATTTTAACTCGAGATCAGCTTGATCAGAGAACTCATGATGCTTTGTAGAAGTTAAACCCTTGGACATTGTGAATGACCCGCTCGAAAAATATGTCTAGAGTGCATTGAAAACAACGGAGGAGTTTTGGATCATTTGCGATGAGTTCAGTTATTTCAATCTTTAATCTGAATCTTTTATTTTGTTTCGTGTCTTTCCAGTTAGAATATCAACATTAGTTTCCATGATACTAGCTCTTGTTTCATCGTCTACTGTGGTTTAAAGTAATACAGTTTAATTAAGTCGGCTGGGAAAAAATACGTTCATGGTGTGTTGTATATATTATTATTTAAAAAATAATTATAAATTATAAAAAAAAACATTTTTATTATTGTTGAATGCTTTCCTGAACATTAAATGTTTTCAATTCCACTATCGGTAAATAATTTGCTGTCCATTTGCTGTTTTCATGGACATGAGAATATCAATTTGCAGAAACAAAGCGAATATTGTAGCAGCTAATCAACCGAAATCAACTGGTTAATCACTCGAGGTACTGCATCGGTTTTTGCAATAATAAACCCGCTGTTTAAGCCCGTTGGTTGAACAATTTGTGAAAAATGACTTTGCACCGTAAGGGAAATTTGACTGATAAAGAACAATTTATCATCACTATTTTGGTTTAAACCGCAATTAAACTTTGCGACGGTTTCAAAGTGCCAGTGGGCATTTTAGATGTATTTCGTGCAACATTTTCTGGGTTTCCTGCATATAATAGTGCTGAGGTGGGAAAAGAAATTAATCACTTCGTGCACTTCTCCCTTTATAGTTCCTAAAACAGGGATTTAAGAATTTTTACACATTTTTCACAAATAAATGCACGGCTGTATTCATTTGCGTACCCCAACAGTGTAACACAATTCTCCGTATTTACAGGCTGGAAATTCCAATGCTATTATTTGCCTACCGCATTATAAGGGAGTATGGGATTTGTCAGGATCTGATTACCGTTGAAATGCGGATTACCGTGCCCTTCAACGTTGAGCATAAAGGCATGTTTGCCAATAACTTTGGAGATTTCGTTCAACAGCGATTTTTGCACTTTGTCAAACTGATCTGAATCTGATTACCTTCTCAACTGCGACATAACATGGTGCATTAAGCTGGCTTCCTCTTGCAACGAATTAAATTGCGTTGAATCGTTTTCCAGGCCATGAGCCAAATCCTCCAGGAATTCGACGGCAATGTCATCTTCGAAGACGGGATGTCTAATAGTAGTTACCCATCTGTGAATAAATATGAATAGGTTTATCGAATGTACTGCGGTCGAAGATTTGAATTATTGTGTGCCCGAATTTGCTCTGTATGTAGACGCCAATAAATGAAATATTAGTTCTTTCAGTTTCAGTCACTTAAGGAAATATTAAAGAGAATGATCAAAGTTATATTAACATCATATTCCCGAACTAGACAGTGTTTAGTCAAATGTTGCAGGAGCACAAATTTCCCAACAACATCTTTAACAAAAATAGCAAAAAGAGAGATAATGCTTGAAAAAATGTTTTTACTCATGTTTGAAATGAATGAAATTTTCCATGATTGTTAATAGTGGAATTTTGAGAAACTTTGGCCGAAGCATTGAAGAACTTTCAGGTCCACTAACTGAGTGTAAAAATGAGAGAATACGAGCTCGAGGAAATATAAAAAAGAACAAATTGGCCATGGAAATATCAAACAAAATTGAAAAGATGAAACTGCTTAACAAGAAACAGAAAAATTAAGACAAGATCGACAATTTTTTCTGTCAAGTTCAAAGTAAGATTAATTATGTTGTTAAACTGTCCGAGATTACCGAATCTCTATGCAAAAAAATTGTTGCGGGAAGCAATAATCTGAAAAACATACTTGCCGACATTATGAAAACATAAAACTTGTGGGAAATGTAGAGAAACATTAAATAGAAATGCATATGTGCATGTACTTGAAGAGGCCAAAGCAAGATTTAAGGACGCAAATTTAAAGCATAAAATACGTAAACACAAATGTGGTGCTAAGGATTGCCGATGAAATAAAATATTTAAAGCAATTTGGAGCGTTGGAATTTCGAAGCTTATAACAACTGTAAATGAAGCAAATACGGTTTAAAGATAGGAAAAGAGAACAAAAATCACACACAACTAGGGTTTACAAGCAAAAGAAAAAAACGTGGAAAGCAAACTTGGTGATTACTTAGCAAGCACATGTTAACAAGAGGCATCCAATATCGAAAATTTGCAAAAGTAGAATAAAAGAAGCAAATGATTACGTAAATTGATTGATAAGCAAATGCGAATTACTACCCAAAGTCTAAAACTAGCTTTTATAAACACACTTCAATAACATACAAAATAAGAAGTTTTTCAGAAAACGGCAAAAAAATTAAATTCACACGTGTGCAAAGCAAGGAAAATAATAATAAAAAACAAAGTAACGGGATAAGTAATAAGATTATTGAGTTTCATACGAACAAATATGAACATATTAAAAAACCAACAGCTAATCAGACAAACTTTCAAAATTTGCCAATTAATACTAAACTCTAAGAACTGTTTACTTCATAAAGATCAGAATAAATAGCTTTCAGCACCAGATCAGTAAGAAACATCAAAGATTCCCGATGTAGAGCAGCTTTCAACAATTGGTGAAAACATTTGCAAGCAGCCATCCTGCTAAGATTTCTGGATTTTCTCACCCAACTTATAAAACATATTTAAAATTAAATTAATAAATTAGGAATAAAAACACAAAGAAAGTAATTAAGCAAATCAGAGCTGGGGACAAATTATAAAGAATACAGAACATAATAATTGCGGTAAATAGAAGTAAATGCTCGTGACGCTGAATCAGGGGAAAATAATTGATGCGTTTAAAGCATAAAGCCGGAAATAAAGGAGTCTTTCTGAGCTATTTACATAAAACAGCAGAGCTGAATATTAACAAGTTCAATTTTTCAATTGAAATAATACAAGAAAATAAACGCGAACGGTAGCAAGTATAGAAATTAAGTAAACATGAAGTAAAGTCAATACAAGTTATTTGAAAAGGAACTGATGATTATTATTAAAACAAAAAGGATTATTTAGAGAAAATTACCGAAAACAGTGACTTCAGCACTGGGCTATAAATTATATTTCGAAAACTAATAAAAACTGCAAATAAAAAAGACGTGCAAATATAAATTCGGAAGCAAAATAGAACAAAAAAGTTAACGGAAAAATACAAACGTCCAATTAAAAACAGAAAACTACCTAAAAGAGAAAATCAGGACAAATTGTAAAATACAACAATCAAAGGAAGTGAAATTGCACAGTGGAAATAAAAGAACAATCGAACAGCATCAGTTCCGAAAACACCCATAGATATTAAACATATCATCATTGTTCACGTCATTGAAAAATTGGAAAATCCAGGACTTAAGCGAAACACTAACACAGAAGCAAGAATCAGTAAAGCAGAAAAATTCACCATCTTTAATAAGCTCAAGCTAAAATCACCATAGAACTGTTGATATTCGCCTTGAAAAAGTTTTGTTTGTTTCCGCAAAAAAGTGCAAAAATGCAATTTAAAATCTATTTAATGCAGAAAATTTGAATTCGATTTAAATTTTAAATTTGACATTAAAACTGATGAAATTTTTCGTTTGCACGGTTCCTTCCTGCTATGCAAATGCGATTGACTCGAAGCTCCAACTTTTCAGGAAGTATAAAAAAATTAGAAATAAGTTTCTTACCTGTACACAAATTGAATCACTCGCCTCTTGCAAGCTAAGATGAATTCCTTGTCCTGATTCGAGTAGTCTATATTATAAGTATATCAAGTTAAGGAAAAATGCCGGAATATATTCGTGGGAAAATTAAATTTTTTTCGGGGATGTTTCTCTGCTGAGCCCCAAAGTGCTGCGGAGGATTAAAATTAATTAGCTTAAAAGGATATTATTTGTCTAGTTCTTCGACGAGTTGATGCGTTGGAAGGAAGACAATGTGGGTCAGTAGGAAGTCATCCAGGAATGGATCTTGAGCAGTAGCAATAATAAAGTTATCTCCTCCACCCATCGTTCCTCTACTATCTAATCTAGTTTCTAGTAAGTGTTCCAGCATTTTTTGCGGTGTTCCCGCCATCACAGTATATCTGCAAAAATATTATGCGGCTTCTAGTAATTTTCCTTAAGCAAGAGTCTTTTAAATTTGTCTGGGGAAAGACCCATTTGAAGCAGATGCAATTCTCTATATCAATTAGAAACAATTGTAATCGCGCTTCATTTTAACTTCCAATTATTTCGTTTAAATAGGTGTTAAAAATTAGAAGAAATAGACACCTGGAAGCAAAAAAGGAAACTTTACTTGAAAAAGGAAAATCTGGAAAATTCCAAATCAACTTTATTCAAATTGCACAGAATAGCCGACGAGGTAATAATTCAGAATTTTGCTCAGCTGAAATGATTTTACTTTTATTCGAATGCCTTTTGGCTTAAGAATTGGAATGAATTACTAGCATTTAATCTGAAAGTCAATTTCTCTGAGGCTAGAAGGACTAGATAAAATGGCCTTTGGACTTGACAATTTATGGGACTTAACGCCGCAGCCTTAGTCATTAATTTTATTAGAAAGCTGCAGATGCAATTACTTCCTGTTGGTTTTTATCTGCAGTACATTAGGGTTCGATTTACCATGTGGATTCGATTAAAGTTCAACTCGATTAGCTTCTGATTAGAATAACATTTGCGCAAGATAACTTGAGATGGGAAAACAGTTGCATTATTTAACTGATTGATTCATGAGTATAATTGCTTATGCACACCAATGAGCAATTTACGCCGAATTCCCTGTAACTGCTTAAATGTGGTAGCGCAGTTAAATGTTTAATTTCCACCATTATCTGTCTGAATGGCCACATTTATGGTTAAATGCAAACCGCATCTGCCAGCGCCAAATGTGCGATAAATTGAAAGATTGAACAATTGCATGGACACAATGCGTTTTGTTTTAAATATTCCACAGCCTAAACCTTCTATTCAGTTCAATCATATTGCACCCAAATGCACATTTGCAGTTTCACCCGCATAATCAGAACTCCCAAACGGTTTGGAGTTAAATAAATTTAATTTAATTGAATGGAAGACATGTCGGATGTCCCAAAATTTCCCCCACATTTCGTTTAATCCAATTTACCACACAAAACAGGACGCAATAATCGGATTAAGTGGTTGCATATTTAAAACTCCAGAAGAACATTTCACTACATTAAGGTAAGCTGACCATGTCAAACCTTGTAAAAGCTCGGGATTTTCGTTGCGGGAAAATGGGAGTTAATAGAGTAATATTTCCCTTGTCTGAACTTGTGAGATGGGGGCCGAACTTTTGTGTGTGATTAATTAATTAAGGTTGAGTTTCGCTTTCGCCGCAAAAAACGTGCTGAAAACCTAAAGTTTTAACTCAATTTGTCGCCATATATTTACCGGTTAGTAACGAGTGACTAAATATTTTTCATAATTTTAACGATGGAGGTGCTCGTTATTTACAGTGTTTTCATGTTGAGGCACACTAAACGCGATTTTCCCAAATTTTTTAGAGTTTGTATAGTTTAAGACTTAATAAAGTTCAACGGCGTTTTTAATTGTTTCATCCCGGTGTCGTGTTCTTTGCCCTGATCAATATTTGTTCAAACTGATCAAATATTTGCGTTAATTTACCGTGTAAAATGCTCTGAAAGTGCAATTCACATTAAGCAAAGGAACGGCCTAATCTGATAAATTCTTCGCAACTACGGTGAATATTAGAAACAACCGGCTCTTGAAATTCCCTTACAAAATTCTTCAGTTTAAAGGTAAATAAATTGGTTTACCTCATTACTATTTCTCCTAACTGAACCTTCCATCCATATCAGATCTATTTGGGCTGGATTTAAGGGAGAAAGCGAAATCCGTCCCCGAATCGGCTTTTCGAGGCAAAATCTGGGGTATTTTATGTGAGAGAAGACTTAAAAAATGAATAATTCAACAATGTCAATTTCACTAATTTCAGTCCACGGTGAGTAAAAAAAATTGAATCCGCGAATTTTTCAACATGTAGATTTGAGTAGAGACGAACAAACTGACGATTAATAATTAATTCGGCTTGTTATTGCGTTTGATAACTTATCTTATCTTTCACTGTCTATTTAAAATACATAGGGATGCTCATTATCCCATGTCGACAATCGTTGATTAAATAGTGAACGTACTTACTTGAAATGTGAAGAAAACACTTGCTTCGTATTGGAAGTGATCTTTTCTAGGATCAGAACATCCTTTCCGTGCTCCTTTAATCTTACAGTGTTCGCCTCAACATCCCTAAGGATTCTATTGAAGTTCTCCTTATCCACCCGCAGGAAATGGCAGTTGTTTTCGCGAAGAACTATTGTTGCCGCTCTGCAAACAAAAGTTATAAATCCAGAGCATCTATTTTTCTAATTAGAATAAAGCTAAGACTTTCTTTTGTTAAAAGTCGTTGTTTTTTAGAGCACAGGTCGACAGCCTTGTAATACAAAAATGTTTTGGAATTTGGCTTACAAAATGTTGCATTTGGAATGCATCGGTTTATTACCGGAACACACATTTCAAAGCCGTAATTATTTAAAATTCGACTAATAAAGTTGGAAGCCCTAATAAAGATTGCTCTCGTTAAACAGGCTCTTTGGTTGGCAAACAACCGCCTTGAGGAAACTCCAACTATACATTCGTCTGCCATCAGGGTGATGTGAAACTTATTAAACTTTTCCCCAAGTTTTAATTGCAATATCTCGTTACTCTCATAAAAGATTAGTTTGCTTTCTTCTTCTGCAGCCTTGTCTCAGTTTGATGGGCGTAAGTATAATGATAAAATGGGTTTTCGCTGGTAAAGACGTAAGGGTCCTGAATTATTTAACACGCTGTAGGTCTGGCCCAGATTAGCTATTTCTGACTTTGCATTAAACTTTCAGCAGTATTTTGTGACATAACTGGGAGAGTTATTTTCCGTTTGGGACGTGCACTTCTAATGTGGGCGCGTGTCTGCTAACGTTTTCTGCCTCTTAGTAGGGACACGCATATTGCCGGATAAAAGTTTTGCGATATTAAATACCAAAAATAAGCCTGGTAAAAGTACGAAAATAAAGACGAATTATATCCCCATTCACTTCCAACAACGAAATAATCAAATATAATTTTCCATTCACCAAAAGTAATGGGCTTGAAGAATTTCCTGATTGTGCTGCTAGAACTTCATGACGATTTCCCAGTTGATCGATATATTTGAGGCTTACGATTTTTATTTTGGGGCAAATTAGGCCAACAAATAAATCACGGGAAATAATAAAACAACTCGTTATGTCAAGAATCTACAATGTTGATAAAGCATCATGCAATTAAAGGTTTACAAGCAAAACAGTTTCTCCTTTCAGTTTCTTAATATACCCACTCATAGCTCAGTTATGAGCAATATAAGCTGGAAATTTACGAGATCCATGCGAAAAGCACTCAGTAAAACCACCGGCAAAATATTCAGCTGATGGTGTTGCAATTCATCTCGTCTTAGGGCCTCATAATACTTGCTGACACGTCTTGATAGCAAGCATAAACTGTTTACGAGCGATACTGTTTCGATGTATTATGGCATGGTGTTAACACCGTATCCAATGGAAAATAAAGGAAAGTAAATAATTAACAAAGCGCTTACCTTGGGGCATCATTTATCAAGGCGAGCTTTCCAAAGTCGTCGCCCTCATGGAGAGTGTTTACGGTACCTTTTCCATGAATAACGACGTCGACAGATCCTCTTACAATAATGTACCACGAGCGACCTTCATCTCCTTGGTGAAACACTGAGGAAAAGAATTGGCAGGTGATTGAAAAGCCAACAATTTTATCAAGGAAATTGCAGAAAAAATAAAATCGGGCATATTTTTGGGGGCAAATATTTGGCTCTTAATCCTGAGCGAAAAGCACGGAGGTTCTAACAAAATTTTCCGTAATCGACCATAATTTGTTCAATTTTCCGAAAATTAGCAGATAATCAGACATATATAGAATTTCGTTTATTGATGCCTGTAAAAACAGGGAAACTTACACACAAGACAATTCTTCTTTTCATCATTTTTAAAAAACTTTAATTAATAAATAATTTAATATCTTTATGAATCTTTATCAGCGCCGACCTCAGAAGAATTGGCCGTTGATCGAAAAGCCACCAAATTTATAACGCATATTGCAAAAAAACATGAAACTACGGATTTTTTAAGGTAAATATTTGGGTATCTATACGCTCTAAGATTGCAGCAAACAAATTAGCAGTTTCTTACAGGCAATCGTGCACACACGAGACATTTCGCCTTTTCATAATTCGTTTTTCAGTTTCCACCTCATAAGAGTTGGCAGTTGATTGAAAACCCTGCAAATTTATCAAGTAAATTGCAAAAAAAATTCAAACTGAACAGATTTTTAAAGGTGAATATTCAAGTGTTTCTGTCCGGCCGGTACAGCCCTAAGATTGCGGCAAATAAATAAAGAGGTTCTTATTTATTTTTTGATATGCGATAACAATTTGTTCCATTTTCAAAATATACGCGGATAATTTGTCAGAGACAAAACTTCGTTTATTGATCTGTTACATGCAAACTTTCACGCACGAGACATTTCTTCTCTTTATACATTTTTTCAGTTTCCACCTCAGAAGAATTGGCAGTTGATTGAAAAGCCACCAAATTTATCACGCATATTGCAAAAAAAACCTAAAACTGTACAGATTTTCGAAAGTAAAAATTTGGGTGTTTTTATACGTCCTACTATTACAGCAAAGAAATTAGCAGTTTCTCATTCATTTTTTAAATTTCGATAATAATTTCATCAATTTTCAGTCAGAGATAGAACGTCGCTTCTACATGTTATACGGACAATTTTGCCACACAAGGCATTTCGTTTTTTCATAATAATTTTTTCAATTTCCACCTCACAAGAGTTGGCAGTTGATTGAAAACCCTGCAAATTTATCAAGTAAATTGCAATTTATTTTTTAATATGCACTAACAGTTTGTTTCATTTTCAAAATATACGCGGATAATCCGTCAGAGACAAAACTTTGTTTATTGATCTTTTACAGGCAAAGTTCCACGTACGAGACATTTCTTCTCTTTATACATTTTTTCAGTTTCCACCTCACAAGAATTGGCAGTTGATTAAAAACCCAACAAATTTATCAAGCAAATTGTAAAAAAAAACTTAAATCTGTTCATATGCTGACTGAATGCACCAAAGAAATAAAGATGTTCTTATTTATTTTTCCATACGCGATAATGATTTGTTCAAATTTCAAAATATACACTATTAATCAGTCATAGGAAAAACTTCCTTTATTGATTGAGAAGCTAACAAATTTATCAAGTAAGTAGCAAAAAATCTCTAAAATTGTGCACAAAGGTCAATATTTGTGTCTCTATATAACTCTACATTTGTGTCTCTCTTCAACTCTAATATTGAGGCAAATAAATAAAGAGTTTCTAATTTATTTTGTCATAATCGAAAATAATCATTTGGTCGATTTATGCAGGACATATGCAGATAATCAGTAAGATAGGACTTATCTTAAACAACAAACATTAAAAATGTTCCCATTTCAGTGTTATTTTAGAAATTTATATCCCCAAAAAAAATTACTGAACGCTCACATTGTCACTATCGAAAGAAAATTTATAGACAAGGGCGGATCCAGGGGAGGGGTCGTGGGTGTCATGGCCCCCCCATTCAAATCTCTATCTAACGATGCCAAAACGAATTCTGTGGCTCGAATGGTTCTTGAGAAACTTCGAAAAAAGCAGCGTCATGTGGATTTTGCAACTCAAAAAAAACCACGCAAATCTAAAACTTCTAGAATTCAAGCATTTTTTGAGAAAACTGCCAACATTTCCCCATCCATG